ACGGTGTCCCAGAGGGAGTGATGTGAACAGTGAATGCACTCAACTGCTGGTGGAAATGCTGTCGGTCTAGGAGGTGCCTCAGAAGAAAGGCCAGGCAATCCACTTCCCGAAAAACAGCCGCTGAAAACCACTTGGCCCACAGCTCTCTACCCTACACAGGTGGGGTCGCCAGGAGTTGGAACTGCACACGGCAACTGGCACTGGTGACCTGAGCAGACTGGAGACGTGAGAGAGGGAAAAGCCCACTTGTACGCAGTCGGGCAGCCCAAGGGGATTTCAAGTAGGTCAGTGAAAAGTGAAATTAGCATCTAATAGGAACATTTCCCGCCAACTCCCTGACGCCTGTCATACAAAAACTAAATCTCATCTCACTTTTCAGAAGAAGAAAAAAAGTTTTCCTTACCAAAGTAATGAACAAAAATATTACCAAGTCATGGCTATTCTCTTTAACATTTTTTGTTTTCTCATTTTAAAACTAGTATTTTTAAAGTAATATTGAAAATAATCAAAAGTTCAGAGAAAAAAAGTGAAATCTCGTGTGGCCATAGCTCTTAAATAAAGCTGCCATGAGATGGCGTTCTCTAAGTTGCTTTTCTGTGTGGGTTTTTTGGTACTATAACTTCTCTAATCATACAAGACTAATTTTATATCCTTTTTTTGTGTTTATAGAATGCACGCTTACCCATATTTCTATTAATCTTAGTGGATTTATATTTCATGTAAATTTTTAAATCCAATTACCTACTTGTTTCTTTTTTACATAGAGTTTTAGATGCCCCATGTCCCCCAGATTTAAGTATAATTTTGCTGAACCTTTTGGTGCTACACTTTTCATAGTTAAAACAAAATAAAAGCAAACACAAAACATTCATCGCCATTCAGGAAGCTGTAAACCTTTGTGGAAGCAGACAGCCTCATCTTTCTCCTGCAGAGTGGCTGGTGCCTTTGAACTGCTGACCTTGTGGTTAACAGTCCAACACATAACATACTCCCCCACCAGGGCTTGTCCTCACTTTCTTCATAGTTTGGATAGATTTAGTAAGAATGACTAAAAGCTGATTTACTGCAAACAAGGAAAATGAGCATTCGAGCGTCTCTCTTTATAAAGCTAACCTTTCAGAAATCTCATCTCAGTGGACACGTGGCACACAAGGTCCTCTGGCCCAGACTGGCATTGGCATGAGCACCGTTTTGAAAACCCTGCTCCAATGAAGGCATCAAACGACAGTGGTCCAGCTCTCGTGGGCTGACCCCTGAACCACCCTCTTCCTTTAGGTTCCCCATCTCCTGTCTGCGGGCTCCTCTTCCTCCATCACCCAGGGTTCCAGCCTCGGCCCTCTCCACCCTGTATCCTCCCCTTTGCCCGTTACCTAGGGCTCCACCTTTCACTGTGACTTCTCTCCTGACCCCTCCCTGTGAGGTCAGCCACCTACTGGAATCTGCTCGATTATTCCTGTGGCACACATTTAGGAGACAAACAAACAAAACTCAGCCCCCTCAAAACAACCAAAGAGTCCCAGCCTGTGACATCACCATCCTCCTGAAGTTAGCATGTGAATCATTTCAGTATGTTAAATTCTTGGTGAAACAATCATTTCGGTTAAATAATATTCCAATGAAATTCACCATCACTGCAAACTTGCTCCATATGGAAGGAATCTGTGTGATTGCCACTATATTATCTTGCTATCTGACAGGCACTTAGGGCAGCCAGCGGGGTTCTAGTCTAGAGAAAGAGGAAGGGAGGGAGGGAATAGTGACAGGCATTTACAGCCAGCCTCAAAGTGGTGGGAATTCCCTCAAACTCGGATACAGACGCTATTGTACTCAAAGCTCTATGAATGTCAAATTTTTGCAAAAATGACATGTTACTTTCCGGGACAGAAGTCACCAATTTAAAGAAATCAAATTACGACTGCTCTTAAACAATGAGACCTAACCCAGCCATGAAGACAGAAGAAGCGCTCTGCAACCTAAGCAGGGTGGGTTTCATTAAACAGTAGGATTCTTTGCCTACGTCTTAAAGTCAAAGTGAGGGACACGCAGCTCTGAGACTAACCGTCCTAACGGAAGACCATGGTGGCCACTCAGCAGCTGGCGGTGAGGGGGGGTTTACACCCAGGCTAGGGTCTTGCCAATCATTTAAGGCAGGGAAGGTTATCGTCGCTCTGTGATAATGGATGAAACAGCTTAACGTTGCAGTCATCTAATTGTTACAAGGAAAAGTTCCTTACCTTCCAATAGATTATTAAATTTTTCCCATCAGAACTCCACTCTCTCCAAGTATCTGGTCCCTTTGAAGGAACTAGGAAGGAGATTTAAAAGTTAGTATTTGAAGATGATAACCACAGGTCTACTGACGATATTAATAATTAAGACAGTGGGGCCGAATACAGGTTTTATTTTTCTGTGACATCCGTAAATTCTCAGTAAAAGTGGAAGGTGTTTCGTGCCTTCCATTTGAAAAATAAGCATACAGAAAAGCTGAGCTTTCAACTGATAAAAATACAAGCACCTTAGACCGGGTGACCGAGCTCTGGGGGTGCGGTGGTTACAAGTGGGGCTGTTACCCACAAAGTCAGCGGACGGAAACCACCGCCACTCTACGGCAGACAGACAGGGCATTCTGTGCCGTCAACAGGAGCAGGCCTATACTGTCCTAGAGGGTCGCTGTGAGTCAGAAGTGACTTGATGGCAGTGAGTTGGGGTTTTCTGTTCTTTTTAGAATGGGTTAAAATCACCTTGGCACCCTCCACCTTGTGCCTCTGACCTCTTCGTTACTCAGGTTGGCTGTTGCCACACATGGGCTTCTTGCTGTCCCTCAGACTTGCCAAGGGCACCTGCCTCAGACTCAAATTTTCTATGTCTCTGCCAAGAGCCCCTACCCGCTATGGTAAACCATGTGGTTAGCGCTTCAACTCTTCATTAAGGTGCTCCCAGGGTAGAAAGGATCGTTTCCTAAGTGTGTCCTTTAAGACCAATCTGTACATCAGTCAGTATTGAGGATGATGACATAGATGTGTACAGTTCCTATTTCAGCCTTACTTTATTTAGTAAGGAGCCCTGGTGGAAGAGTGGTTACAAGTTTTGCTGCTAAATACAAGGTCAACAGTTCAATCCCATCAGCCACTCCACGAGAGAAAGAAGAGGCTTTCTAATCTTATAGAGTTACAGGTTCAGAAACCCACGAGGACAGTTCTACCTCTTCCCAAAACAGTGGTTTTCAACCTTCCTGATGCTGCGACCCTTTAATACAGTTCCTCATGTTGTGGTGACCCCCAACCATAAAATTATTTCGTTGCTACTTCATAACTGTAATGTTGCTACTGTTATGAATCATGATGTAAATATATGATATTTAGGATATATTTTCATTGTTGCAAATTGAACATAATTAAAGCACAGGGATTAATCACAAAATCAATATGTAATTATATATTGTGAAACACTTATTTCTAATTACAAATAAATGAAATTTTGTCTTGAAGCATGGTGTAGCATGGGTAAGTCTTCACACTGGGTACTTATATGTGGGCGATCCTCCTGGAGACAGAGGAGTGGTGTCTTGGTTCCTAAAACCATTGTAAATATGCATTTTCTGATGGTCTTAGGCAACCCCTGTGAAAGGGTTGTTGGACACCCCCCCCATGGGGTCGATAGCCACAGGTTGAGAACCGCTGTCCTACTGGGAGGCCATAAGGACTTGAAGGCAATGAGTGAGAAGTAGACTCATTCATCTCAAAGGGAGGGCATATTTGCATAACACCAAAGAGCAAGTAGGAATTGTTAGTGAGTCCTGTTTTAACCTAGGTCCTTGCTGTATCCCAGCTCCATGTCACCTGCTTCCTTTCCTAAGGACACTACCACTGCAGTCCCTTCACACACACCCCACCCTTTGCCACCACTGGATGGATACTCATCTTCATCAGCACCGGGTATGGGGAGGTGGGCACGTGCACACACACACAAAGGTGCTTGTGAAATCTATCTCGGATCCTGTCTGCTCTCAATCCCATGGGCAGAACTCTGTTCCATTCAAGGCTATACATCCTTGGGGATTAGAACAATTCCTGACACATCATGCGTGCTCATTAACTGCTTGTGGGCTGAGCCAATGCCTTCATCTTAATGAGGCATAAACAAAATGTTTTCTCTTGGTGAAAGCAGCTCATTAGCTGAAGGTAAACGCTCCTGTGATAGCCAGTCGTCTCCAAAAGGGCCAGTGGTCCCCCGGCCCCTGTTCCTCAGGCCCCAAGGAGTCCCCACCCACATTGTTGGATTACCCAGTAAGCAGGGGCTTTCTTCTCCTTACTCACTAATTTGTAGTAAAACCACTTCACAGTGTTTCACCACTGCCACAATTCTGCTTTCTAGGTTTGGCACGCATCTATCTGTCTCTCTCCCAACCCCCTGGGACCTTCCCATAGATCAAAGGCTCTTTACACACTTACCATCTCTGACAGGGGCGGAGGACCTAGCCAATGATGAAACTGATGAGAAATTGTTCGCTACAGATTAGTAATCAGGGTAAACCCATGCCTACCTTGCTTATTGGGCATCCACCCCGGGTACCCTAGAGGGCCTGTGTGACCCATGGAATGTGGTCGATGTGATGGTGTGTCACTGCTGAGGCCAGGCAGTCAAAGAAGGTCTCTTCTCTCTCTGCAAGCAGCCAGCTGCCATGTCATGAAGACTCTCAGTCGCTGGCCAGCCCTGCACAGAGAGGGGCTGAGGCCTCCTGCAGTTAGCCATGCAGCGACCCATCTCCACAAGGGCTCCTCCAGCGCCACCCATTCCCCCAATGCAACCAGGAGACACCCTGGGCTAGAGTCACGGCCACCCAGCTAAGCCGCTCCGGAGTTTCTGGCCCACAGGAACTTCGTGGCGTCAGATGTTTGCTGTCTGAAGAAAATGAGCTTTGGTGTAAGTTATTACAAATCAGTAACAACTAATACAGTCTGCTCTAGACTTGTGTAAGATTCACGTTTGAGGATCCATAGAATTCTTCTATCACCAGGCAAGGGTTCCCGTCATCTTTGTTTTGTCGAAAGGGGAAGCAAAATCAAAGGGAGAGGCATCTGTCACCTTTTGCTTTACTTTCTGTCAGTGCTTCAGAAGGAAATCCATATATTCCTCACCTCAAAAACTGCAAACACAGAAGGTACTACCTTTTGTTGGATGACTCCGTGTGTGTGTGTGTGTGTGTCTAGGAGCTCTGGTAGTGTAGTAACGGTGACATGTTGGGCTGCTGATTTCAAGGTCTGAAGTTCAAAGCCACATGTTTCTCCACAGGAGAAAGACAGGGATTTCTATCCTTGTAAAGAGTTTCAGTCTCAGAAATTCACCGTGCCAGTTCTACCCTGCCCTCTGAGGTCTCTGAGTTAGCATCAACTGGATGGCAGTGGGTTGTTCTGCGTTTTGGTTTTCTAGGGGGTTTTGTGTGGAGGTTTTGTTGTTGTTATTCAAGGGCAGAATCTCATCCTGTCTTCGGCAATTAACATACTTGAAGAACCAAGTCCCTGATTTTATACCTATGTTGGCTGCTGTATACTATAGAGAGTAACCTATATTTGCCACCCCTTCTCTCATGTCTTAGGCTTCCCTCAATTCCAACTCATAGTGACCGTCTAGGACAGGGCAGAACTGCCGTGGGTTCTGAAACGCTCAGGATTTAGGGGCGTGGAAAGCCACACATGCTAACCTGTGGTTAGCAGCCCAATGCCACCAGGGCTCCTTATAACCCCAAGCTTAGGTACCAAAGAAATGATTCTACTAAGTTTCCTTTATTAAGAACCATTTCCAATGAAAAGGCAACCTAAAGAGAGTGTGGGGCAAGAATCACCCTGCAGGGTAACCAGTGCCAATCAAGTTGGGTCGCCGGAGCATCGGCTGAAACCACTGCAGCCACGCTGGACAGAGAAGCAACGGCCTTTCACACACACACATTCAGTTGGCATTCCTCACACTATCCTAGGCTCTTTAAGCTATCCGTACAACATTTGGGCAACAGGCATCACACAATGCATCACACATTCCCCTCCTCTTAGACTCTTCGATGACGCCCCCTCTGCACCCCATGCCCTTCAAACCCTCTGGATGCTCGATAACCACCAGCCCCCAAACCACTCTGTTAACTCACATCCTTCGAGAGTTAGGTGCTGCTTCTCAGTGGCCCAGTTGCTCCACTTCCATAAAGTTTCCGTAGCACAACGAATCCGAAAAGTATAATTAGTGTATGGATTTAATTTGTCCATGGCAGTCAGGTAACTTGAGTTGTCTACTCCTGTGATTGTGGCATTGCGCTATTAAGAAACAGATCCATCAATATGTATGCCTGTATATACACTATGCAAACTGTGTACATGAATATAGTTACATGCTACAAACACGTTTTTGAGAGAAAACAGTTTTGAGTATGAAATATGAAGTCATTGAAAGTCTAAGAGTTTAACTAGAAGTAGGAGATTCAAAAAGTTTGTGGACAAAATGTAATGAAAAGGTAGAATTTATACAAAACAATTTGAATATACCCCTTCCCTGTACAGCACCCAAACCAGTTCATCCACTGTAATATTTTATGTCTAGTGTACTTCATATGCTATGTCAGAACAAGTACACTTGCCCAATAGCAATAAGCAAGATTGGGATTATCTTTTTAATCCAAGCATTGGAGTTAAGTAAAAATGATCAATTAAATTCTGCAGAGAGGCTCATAAATTTTGCCTTAGAACGTCTCAATCATAAGTCACTGGTGGTGGAACAGACCTTCACATAATTTGGAAGTTGGAGATGACCTTGAGGACTGAACTGATTACTCATGTGACACTTGAATGACATTTCTTGGAGGCAGGCATCATCTTTCATGCTTCTTTGGAGATGCCACTTAGATCCCTAAGGAAGAGCCCTGGTGGCACAGTGATTACGACTTGGGCTGTGATCTGAAAGGACATCAGTTCAAAACTACCAGCCACTGAGGAAGAAATACAGGGCTTTCTACTCCTGTAAACAGTCACAGTTTCAGAAACCCACAGGACAGTTCTCTCCTGCCTTACAGGGTCCTATGAGCAGGTGGACTCATGGCAGTGAGTGATTAGATCTGTAGGAAGAGCGCTGGTGGCACTGTCGGGTAAACATTGTACTGCTGCCCGCAAGGTCAATGGTTCAAATCCACCAGCCACTCTGGGGGAGACCGACAAAACTACCTGCTCCTGCCTTGGGCACCCTGTGCATGAGTCAGAATCGGCTCGATGGCAGTGGCTACGTGGCTGGTAGAACCAGTACTTTATTTAACTAAAACAAAGCAACTCCAAGTCAATCTGAGGGTTCATATATTTTAGGGGAGGCGCTCGGGTCCTCATTCCTTTTTACAAAGCAGCTCTTGGGGTCCTGTGCAGTTTTGATGCATGTTCTGCAGGTCACGGGCACACGTCCCAATGGGCACTCAAATGCACTACTCTTATTCCCACCACAGGGTACAAGGAGCTGATATGGCACCGTGGTCAAAGTGCTGGCTGCAAACTGAAAGGCTGGCAGCTTGAGCCCGCCAACTGTCCTGCAGAAGACAGATGTGGCCACTTGCTCCTAGAGATGACAGCCTGGGGACTCCCCTGGGAGCAGCTGTACTCTGTCCTCAACTCCACAGCAACTTGGGGTGGCTTCGCAAAGTATAAGACGGTGCAGTGTAAAGCCAACCTAAATAATTAACGTGTATTTAAAATGCCTGGCTATGGCTTATAATGACCAATTATCGTTATTACTTGCTCCTATTGCTGCACTCTGCGATTTTAAAGATCACTGCTACTTGCTGGTGCAGGCTAGTTCATTAACAGCTGCTAAAGGTTCCAGCAAAATCCACTTACTCATTCACAAATGTACTGAGTACCAGCTATGGGCCACTGTACCAGACCTGGGAACCTTTTGATCATTAAAAGTCAAACTTATGTTCTATGATACTCACTCTTTGTAACTGCTGGTAGTTACACACGCTGACTACCAGGCTGCTGTTACTGATCTACAATGCCTGCTCCATATGAATTACTGCAATAGATGCCGAGACTTTACACCCATCCCTTTATGTGATTCTGTGTGAAAAACTTGCTGTTTTTGCCCAAAATAACCAGTAAGCAGATTTATAGAAGACTCATACTCACCAATTCTTGTCCAGAATGACTTTTAATCTCAATTTGACATAAAAGATTAATCTTAGCAAAGTTGCCTGGTAGGTGCCAAGAAAGGGTAACGGTTGTTGAATTCACATCCTTCACTTTGAATGAAGTAGGAGTGTGGGGAGAAACTGCAAATACGATTATTCAGAAATATAATGACTTTAAAATGTTATTGAAAGGTAACTGACTATTTTCTAATGTGATGAAACATGATTTTAAAAATAATCATCACTCAAATCAAGAGGTACCCCAAGTTCTTGGCACAAGATCTTAACCAGTGCTGCAAAGTAGGAACCCTGTGAAGAGTGGTTAGCTCCTGCAGCTCACTGGAAAGCTGGGATCACGTCCATCCAGCGGCTCGCGCGAGAAAGCCCTAGCAATCGGCTCTGTAAAGTCTACAGCCAAGAAAACCCCAGGGGGCCATCCTCCTGTGTCACAGGGGTGGCCATGACTCAGAATCGACTGGATGGCACCCAGCAACAACAACATTCGTGGGATCACAAACATGGCTCTTCCTGCTACCATCATGCCAGTATGTATTTTTTTTCCCAGGAAGTAACATCATGCCAGTAGATTAGATAGATAGATCGATTGATAGATCGATAGATAGGATAGATAGATATAGATAGAGATATTTTTCTTTTCCCCCCCAAGAAGTAACAACACTCAAGGTTCTTCCTGGCCTTTGGAACACCGTAAAGTAGTCAGAGATTAGTTTCATTCTTTCAGAAACGTTTCTTTCATGTGGGCGAGTGACACACAACAAAGAAATAACACAAACAGGTTAAGTGTACCGAGGGGCCAACGGTGTGGTTCAGACAGTAGTTACGACAGGAGTGGGAACGCGAATGAGGGAAGGAAGGCCTCAGAGCAGGATGGGGCTTAACGTGAGCTTTTGGGGCCATTAAGGTTAAAACTGGCAGAACAAGCCAGTGGTGAGAGTGGCGATACCGGAGGGTGGAGGGAGGGTGGGGTTGGAAGGGGGAAGCGATTGCAAGGATCTACATACATATAACCTCCTCCCTGGGGGACGGACAACAGGAAGGTGGGTGAAGGGAGACGTCGGATAGTGTAAGATATGATGAAATAATAACTATAAATTATCAAGGGTTCAAGAGGGAGGGGGGAGTGGGGAGAGGGGGGAAAATGAGGAGCTGATACCAAGGGTTCAAAACAGAAAGCAAATGTTTTGAGAAGGATGATAGTAACAAATGTACAAATGTGCTTGACACAATGGATGGATGTATGGATTGTGTTAAGAGTTGTATGAGCCCCAATAAAAAAGAGTTTTAAAAAACCAAAAACAGGTAAGCGAAGCGACTGCCGGTCATGGTGCCGGCGGTGCTCAGGCCACCTGAGTGGTGGGAGGCAGGCCACGGGGGCAGTAAGGCGGTACAGGCTACAGGCAGCCAAGTACACGAAGACACTGCCACTCGAGGAGGAGAGGGAGCCGTTCTGGCCCTATGGTAAAGTCCGGAAACACGAAAGCTGACCGACTGGCCGGAAGGACCGTCAAAGTGACTGGCACTTAGAAATAAGGCCACAGGGTCATGTACAAAGCACACGGTTGGTGAGCCCACGTGACTGAATGGAGCTAATCTTGTGGTCTTTCTTGGTTGGATCCACACAGAGGCAGATGGTGACAGCGGGGATGGGCTCGAGCCACCCACCAGGGGACAGCGGAGCTTGTGACCGTATTATTCGCCATCAGGCGAGACTTCAAGGCCTTTGGCTTAAGCCCCCACCCTGGCCCCACAACTGCATCTCTAAGGAAGGTCTCTCTCTATGTCGCTGCTCTCTGCACCAGAGCCTGGCATGGTCAGGGTGCAGGGGAGCACCCGTGAGAATGAATGCAGGAGATTGGCCACGTTTTATTCCTGGGTTCGGCTCTTTGTTAATAAGCATGGGGAATTTTCAGAACCCGGCAGCCATGGGAAGGAACAAGCTATTGTCTACTCAACACCTTGGATGTATCTCAATCAAGGGTATTACTCTTAGCAGATAAGTTATCTGGGGTCGCATGGCTGCACTTATAGAACGTTCTCAAAATGCTCAACGATAGAGAATGACGATCTCCATGCAACAGGGACAGGAGACAGAGCGAGAGAGCGAGAGAGAGCGAGAGCGAGAGCGAGAGCGAGTTCACTCACACGCATGCAAGGGGGTGGGGAGTGGTGTTCAATGGATCAAAGAGGAAGCTCTTTCTGGTGATGTGACTGTTCTGTATCTTGTCACATAAATCTATACATGGGAACAAATTACATAATTTGATCTACATTTGGATTGAACTGCATAAAAAACGATACACACATGCATACAGAGAGAAACAGAAAATGCATGCGCGGGGAAACTGAGTAAGGTCAGAAAGTCCAGTGCTGACCATGGTCCCTTTCCTAGTGCTGATCCTGCAGCAGGTACAGAGGACACTGCCATCAGGGTGAAAAGGCATTTGGGGGCCCAGTGGGGAGTCCACCATTATTTCAAATCTTAAAATGTTTTAAAGTTGGACAAGAATACTTTTTCTAGAACCAGTTAGAGCCATTTACAGTTTCTGTAAAAATGACTAATTCTTATTTAAAATAAAAATGGAAATGGCACATTCCAAAGCTCTTAAATAAAATTTACACAATTCAAATTAAATACCTCTGAAAGAGCCAGCTTAAAAAAATCCCCCAAAGCAGTTTTCATTCGCATGGAGCTGCTTTATCACCTCCTGAAGCTGTTTCTAAGACTCGGATCTACGGAGCCGCTTACCTCGAGTAGTTATGTTGACTAAAATTGTGGATTCTGATTGGCCCAAAGGATTGCGAGCATTCAGAGTGAAATGATATATTTCCTGGTTTGGAGTCATCTGAAACATTAACTGATAGCTTTCGTTGGTGGACTCTTCAGTTCTTTTGAATGTAACATTTTTTCCAGAAAAGCTGATGGACAGGGGAAGAAATGTTAAAAGATGCTCAAAATGACATGGCATAGATACTGTGGGGAAGGGGGAGGGGAGGAATAAGTAAATGCTAATAATTGATCTTTTTCAAATATTGGTACTCCTCTTAGGGTACAGTACATACTCGCAGAAGAAAATGCTCTGAGTCCGGGAAGCACAGTGACAACAATCAAGATGGCCCACTGGCCCACTAGCCAGAAACTGGCCAGAAACTGGCTTTGTGCTCGAGTGTTCTTCCTTGCAGGCTTGTTCAGAAGAGGAACAGAGTCCGCATGGATTTTAAAGGTGGCATTGATAAGCCTTCCATTTTATACCGCATGCTTGGCAGGGCCAAATCTACCTCACAATAGAAATGACACTCGGAGTGTTCCCACATCATGTCACACCGTTGCCACGTAAGGCTCACCTCCTTCCACAAGGACCCTCACCTTTCATGTAAAGTGTAACTTGTGTTCCGGGGGCCCAGCAATCCCGTCAGCCTTCCTGGGCTCCAGGTGCACACGATCTCCTTGAAGTCATGCGTTTCACAGCTCAGGTTTTTAGGAATATCAGGTGGATCTAAAAGGGCGAAAAACAAAAGAGGGGCGATGGTGGTGGTGGGGAGGAGGAGGCAGAGTTCCTCAGGATTACATGTTCTTTTCCCTGTGTGTTTTTAAATGTCCATCACACGTTACACACTTTCCTTTTAAAATACAGTGATTTACTGTTTACATGCTACTTTCGCACAATACAGGCTTCATCATTCCTTCTACAACACCTTTCGTGCCGCAGATCAGATCAGAGCTCCCTTTACAAATGCCGGGTACAATGGCTCAGAGTGACTTTTTGCTCATTTGGAAACTCCACACGTCCTGAGCAACCGTTACTTTTCCCTTGACCATTCCAGTGTGGCCTGAATCTCTCAAACACACCCGTGTCCTGGGTAACAAACAAGTCAGGCTGGTGAAAGGTAACGCTTAAAACCTCCACCAGCTACCGTAGACAGACGGATGTGAAAAGAAGTACTACTTCATATTAAGTCGTGGTAGCACGCTGCACAATGCTGACGGGGATGAGCATTTACAAAGCAGAACTGCTGGTAAAAGTCTACAGGACCTTCCACTCAGATTGACCGCTGCCTCTGGACACTTGATGGAGGCAGTTCTCCCTGGGCTGCCAAGGCAGGCGGGGCGCTGAGAAGACTTGCTTTGTCTTTGTGCGACCTTGGAACTGGTATAAGAAAGTACTGCAGGCTGACTCTGCTGATTACAGAAGCTGCTGTTTCTGTGAGGTTGGACCAACCATTGTAGAAACAGATATTTCTTAGTCATATTTACCCAAATGATTTTTTAAAATCATTTTATTGGGAGCTCGTACAACTCTTATCACAATCCATACATACATCCATTGTGTCACGCACATTTGTACATTTGTTGCCATCTATCCAAATCACCTTTTCACTGATAATCTACTTGCTAAATCATTAGGTAAAATAATTTATTTTCTGAAACACTAATGTTTAAAACCGTCCTCAGCTGATCCATCAAGACAGAAAATTTCACATACTCTCCAGAGATAAGAATAGCATTTTTCAGTAAGATTTTACTTTTTACCTGGAGTTATGGATGTTTTACACAAACATTTAAGAATTAAGCTAACACCATATTTTGAAGATAATTTTCAAGGTCAAACTTTCAGCTCCCTTTACTAAAATCACACGAAATGATCTGAAAATAGCTAAGCAGCTGAATAAGAGTGGAAAGAAGTATTAAGATGAATTACTTAAAATCCAAATGAACCTGAGAAAGAAGAGGAAGAGGAGACATAAAAGAAGACTAAGTGATGGCAGTATTTTAAATGTAATTTCAACTGGTTTCTTTTCAAAGAAATTAATTTATGAAACAATCAATTGAGGCTAAATATAAAGTCAATATCGCGCACACACACACGTCAGTATCACACCAAAAAAATCAATTCTATTTCTATACATGCCAGCAAATAGAAAGTAGAATTTAAAATCCAACTTTTTTGCAGCACCAGAAAACATCACACTTGCGGAATAAATTACCGCAAGATGGACAAGACCTGATATCACTCAGATAAATCAGTGTCCTACATAAATAGGCACACATATCATGTTCATAGTTTAGAAGACTTTGTATTGTCATGAATATTCTGCAAACTTCATGTGTAGATTAAATCTAATCATAAAAATAAAATCCTAGGTTTGGAAACTGACAATTGGATTCTAAAATACTTTCCAATATGGTGGGGTACCCCTCATGAAGTGATCACTGAAGCTGTGGGCACTACACCACAGTGTGGTGAAGATACCAGCTGGTCCCCCCCTGGGGTCCTAAAGGCTTGTCTTATAAGACAAGCAGCCTTCTACATGAAGTTTCAACCAAGACCACATGGAAGCAGCACACCAGCTTACGTGATCCAAGGGATGTAAATATCCGAATCCAAATCCAAAGGCAGGAACTGTATCAGAGCTTAAATTGTGAATGCCCGGTTTGCAGAAGGCCGGGCCTGACAGTGGGAACCCAAAATCCATTTGCAGGGTCCCCACGTGGAATAGAGCTCTATGGAATTTCCTCTGACCACAGGCCTGGGATGTGAATAGCTTTGCTCTCATACAGAGAACATTTTAAAGTCAATTAGGCCATATGTAGTTAGGTGAAAATGTAATGCCATATCATTTGATTCCCCCTTCGACTCATTTTAAAGTAGCTTATGCTTATTTCTGGAATAAGATTTTCTATGTTTTGTCTGTTTTTGCTTGCTTCTTATTTGTATCACGGATGACTTTCGATATATGAAGCCCAAGATGGGTGGATCTATCTAGAGAGTAAATGGACTGATAATTGCCTGGGGCCGTGGGCTGCAGAAGGGGTAGGGGTAGCTGAAGATGAGGAATACTAGAAGAAAATAATGTTTTGAAATGGATTGTGGTGATGATTGCACACATCTTCTTGATACAACTGAATGACTGAATTGTATGACATGTGAAGTATATCCCAATAAAAACATGCTTTAAAATAAATAAATGGTGGGTTAAAAGGATATCCCTATGGGAAAGAAAACGCATGCTGACTCATACTTCGCACCATCACCTGCTCTATTGTAGGTTTCCACAGAGCTTCCTCTAAAAAGGAAACTCCGGCTGCTCTGGAGTAGAGGGATCCTGAAGAGGATGCCCAGCTCCACGCATTAGACACTGAACTTCCATCAGGGACTTAGAATCACCTCCATGCATTAGAAATTAAACTTCAATCAGGGACTTAGAACCACCTCCAAACCTTATAAATTAAACTTAAATTAGATACTTGGGTAGGTTTGTTCTTGTACTATAAGAAACTAGAATATGGTTATCTCATTGTTTTTTGGTGTTTTTTTTTTTTGGTATCATAAGCCATTACCACAAGAGCATGAGACAGATAACAATAAAATTTAGATGGAAAATCCCTAAATACACAATACGTATGGATATTCAATACAAGTAATATAAGCAGTGAAATCCACCACCACTACGTTTGGCAGTGTTACAGAATTTTAGAACTATGGCAGGGCCCTTGTTAGCAAAGAGAACCCTGACTGATGGAGGGAGCATCTCTAAGTACATTTTCCTCTGGCCGCCATCCTCCAAACACCTCTGCCCCTTAGACATGCCTTTTCAAGTGGATGAAGCATATTGAAGGATTCTATGCAACTGTATTACAATTTCTTCAACTTAGAAAAAGTTTTAAAGTATACTTTAGGTAAGTGGTAAATTAATTTATAAGAGGTAACTCCTGATTTAACAATTTATAATTATAAACTATTATTACATAGCGATGACTCCAGAAAGTGTCTAGACCCAATAAAGCTGTCAGTTACAATTTTAAAGTAAAACTTTGCATTGAATGTTCTAACTATTGCTATAAAATCTACGAAGAACAAAGAAACAAGGAGGAAACAAAATTACTCCTCAAGAAAAGAATGAAGGCTTTCAGGAACAGCAATGACAACGACAAATCAAGAGCTCTCTCTTTAATATGAGATACTTACATCCTGCAAAAATGACTGTTCCAGCGAGGTTGCTGTCGGTGTTGAAAATCACATTTGTTCCACTACTTTCAGAAACAGAAATATTATAGATCTTGATTGCAACATTTTCTCCCTCCAGATGAATAAGGGGACAGTTGTTATTGCCTATCTGTGCTGATAAGACTTTTTCTTGACTTACACAACAAACTGTTATATTTGACCCGACAAGTATCACTTTGTCTGCAGGAAAAACCTTAGGTTGAGAATCAGGTGATGACCCTAGAAAGAACATAGGAATTATACTTTAGAAGTCTTTTCCCACAAAATAGAATCCATAATATACTTTGTGGGATATAAAATGACTTTTCCCCAGTTTTGTCTCCCCCAAAGACATGCCAAACATTAGAGGCTATTGGCCAGCACATGGTGGGAGGTCAGATGCATTCAGCCTTCAGACTACCTTCTGGTCCCACCGTAGGTGGAGCCCACTCCCTGCTGTTAAGGACAATGGATTACTTCTCCCTGAAGGCACTCAGACACCAGTCTGGTCCACTGAAGGTGGGGTTCACACCCTCCTGATAATGGTTTCCATGGAGAGCCAGAGAACAGGTCAAACAGGATGCTCAGTGACATTCAAAGTTAGGCTGCCATCCTGAATCTGGGATCCGCCCACCTTGTCACGTGTGCCCCCAATCCCTACCCTTCCTATTGCGTGTATACCCCTAGATTGTCCTCCTCTCGTTACTGTATTACCTATAGCACAACCCCTTCCTGTGACGTATGTCTTTACCTGTAATTAGGGGGCTTGAACAACCCCCAAAGATATATAAATCTTGGTTAGCAATAAAGCGCTTTTTCCCCTGGTTCCTGATACCTCTCTCTCCCTGTTCTCTCTCCCCCTGGCTTTCTCCCCAAGTCCTCTCTCCCCCAGGTCCTGGCTCCCCTGTCCCCTCTCCCCTTGTCCTTCTTCCCCTCCCCATCTCTCCTGCCCTCTCATGTCTCCCATGTCCACGTGGACAACCGAGCGTGACTGAGGTGAGCTACTACCATGAAATGTTTCTGACTCCATTACTTCAATATCTCTTCTATCTCTCCTTATTCTCTATGACTATTATTTATACATACATATATACATATACATATATTTATTTATTTATTTATTTAACCATACAATTGCGCCTATCGAACCTGCGATTAGTTGTGGAGGGCTGGCCTTCCCCCACAATACTTAACAAAAATTGTTTTTGTAATTGTTAGCCCGTTATATACAAAATATATCATTAGGTGCTTTATAAGAGTGGCACCCTCAGCTAACGTATGTTCCTCCCAAACACAACAAAAGTCTTGAAATACAAAGCTCACATGAAATGCTCTTCAGTGGGCTCCAGCCACTCCACTCTTTGTGACCAAGAAACTGAGGGTCGTCAATGTAGCGCCTCATCTCCACATGGTGAGCGGCACACTGCAAAGGCATGTCTGAGGTCCAGCTCCAGTGATGAACTGTATCCTGACCATTCAGAGTTGAGTTGTAGGTCACCTAAAAGTGAACACAAATATAGCATCACCTTTCTGAAAACACACAGTAGCTGATACTCCATCATCAAAGAGCAAGACAACGCCCCCAGCCGTGACAGTAGAGGAGTTAGGATAAAAATCATGATTCGTTTAACTTAACATCTTCACCTTCAGGTCCTACAATATATTCATGCAAGATGGTGACATTAGAAAATATTCTATTCAGTATGCGAGGGCACATACCACTGCTTACCCCATCTCTTTTTCTACCGCAGAATCCCTGAGACAGAAAGTCAGAGGGGAGAGCAACGTTATTGGTGTGAGATGCCGTCAGGTGCTGTCGAGTCGGTGCTGACTCCCAGTGGTGGTTGTACGAACAACAGAACAAAACACAACTCAGGCCTGCGGCATTTCCCCAGTCATTGCTCTATTTGAGCCTATGGTTACAGCCACCCTGTCAATACATCTGTAGTAGTCTGGGTACTTTGGAGAAACAAATCCACAGAAACTCATGTAAAAGAGAGAGTTTTATGTAAAGAAAA